TGTCTGGCCTGCTGGATGTTCCAGGCAGCCACCTGCCCTTCCCAGCCACATGGGATGAAGCAGGTGCATCCGTTGGTCTGCATCATGTGCTTCCCCCCGACTGCCTGCTGCCAGTGCTGTCGCCATTGCTATGCCTCCTTCTTGGAGGGTCAGCATGGTGATCACAGTTGGCTGCCGAGCACCTGCTGCTGGACACTTCCCCCCCCAATGCACACACACACACACAAAGAGAAACATGCATGGATCTGGGAGAAGTGAGCAGAGAGGCAATGATGGGGGAGGGATCAAAATGGGAAGCCTGTCTGGAGCCTCTGGCAGGTTAAAAAAACAACCTGCAGAGCAGGGGCTTTCCTTTTTGTCTACCCTCCCCTCTGTTGTCTTCACGCCTGGACTGACTATGCCTGATGCCAAGAGGACAGTTCTGCTTCCCCCCCTCCCCGCAATGCCAGAAGCTGCACGCCACTGCCACTGACCTGCCACATCCCTCCCCCAGCCCCTGCGATCACCTATTGTCCATCGCACACTGGCAGGCAGAAGCCCCATGGCCTAAAAGTCCCATTCTCTCTCCTTCCTATCTCATTCCTTCCTCCATGGTCAGGAAGGGATGAGGGGAGGGGGAGACATTGGCAGGGTGGCTTTAACCTGATGAGGTGGGGCAGTTCCAGGGTGTGGTGCTGATCTGCAACCTGGTGGCAACAATCCCGGCCAGACCGTGGACAGCCTTAGATCCATGGCACTGCCTTGGCATCACCCCCTGGACATGCGCATAGGAGGCGGCAAGCACACAAGGGATGGCATCCTGGGTGAAAGGGAAATGCTCAGAACACAGTCTCCATGGATGCCAGGCCCTGTGTGCTTGCCACCTCCTGTGTGCATGCCCAGGGGGTGGGGCTGACGCAGCACTGCAGATCTACAGTTGGCCACGGTCGGCCACGGTCTGCCCAGGATAGCTGCAACCAGATTTTAGATCAGTGCCTGGGTTGGCCTCGGCCAGGCCGAGGCACCACAGGCCGGTCCTTTGCTGTTTCCAGGGGGGCCCCATGGACCAGATCTAACCACCTCGCAGGCCAGATCTTGCCCATGGCCCTTGAGTTAGACACCTCTACTTTAGAAGTTACAGCTCTGTATGAACTCTTTTGCTAATAATGCCTATTGTAGCTAAGCATTAATAGGGGAAAGAGGATTTGTAGTGTGCAGGAAGCATGTAGTTATATGCAAACCTATAAAGGCATTTTTATCTTAAGAGGTGCCATCAAGTGAAAGATACCTGGTTATGCATGCTCCAAATTACATTTTCCACTGCAATTGCAGATCTGTATCTCGGCACATATATGGGGAAAAAAGAAAAACTTTTGGCATTCACAAGCCTTCAGATCCAGACCAATATTTCAGTTACAATTTATTTTACATTATTGTATCAACTCTATGGAGAGATTCTCATATAAGTTTCCTTTTATTATTTATTTTTGTACTACATATCTTACTAAGAGAAGATTTTTTTAGCTGGAGGGGCATATCAGCTCTAATAAACAATTACATTTATAAGCCTTTTAAACTCTTTCTGGTTTTAGAAAATGAGGGAAGGAAGCTTCTGTAGCATCTGGAGTTAGGCTCATAATTGTAGATTGTAGGCATTGGGTATACTGGTGTTTTTCAAATGATTCAAAAATGCTTACAACTATATACAAGAAGCTCAAATTCCAACATTTTCTTTAAGTTACACATAGGTTACATTTAAATGTTAGCTTCATGATATAAATCAGGAACTGAAAATGGAAAAACAGGGCACAAATACCAATGGATGGAAAGAAGGAATGAAATTTTTACTTTTGTCACATTTAATATAAATCAAATTTAACTGATACATCTGCTATATGTTAAGAATAACTGTCTTCTTTCTACTTTGATGCACTAAGAAACTATAAGACTGTCAAGGATGCTGATTACAACCATCCTTATTAACTCCTTGGTCCCACTGTAGTATGCCAGGTCAGGCTATTAGAATAACAATCAATTCATGTACACCAGATCATTTCTCTGTTCTGCATGTCAGAATAGGTTAATTAATTCCTTTAGGATGTTACACTATGTTTCTGTCTTTATTTCCTTTCCTTACCAGTTGCAAACTTTGTCACCTTGTAGCTGGTACTCATGGGTCTTCTGGATGCAAGAGACCAAGGACTCACTGCAGGCTGTTGGTTTTGAAAATAAATGATAATTTAATGCTTTACTTTTGGCATTTTGGGGGTGAGCCTTCCACCAGAGAAAAGCTTTCTCTTCCCTTTCAGTATTTCAAAACAAAACAGTGCTTCTCCTTTGATTCCTTTAGAATCATAGAATTCCAAACATTATAACAGTTTCATAATACCTCCCACTTTAGCACTGAAAATATTCTTTATATTGTTGTTGCTTTAAAAAATGACTATGGCTAAACATATTTTTCATTCAGTTTTAAAACAGAAAATGTAGTAAAGACTTAAATAGCTTTATTTTTTTCTGTACAGATTGATTTTATTTATTTTATATTATTTCAAGTATGTATAAAAAGTATATATATATATATATATGTAGGTCTTTGGTTATTCGGGTCTTCTCCCACGTAAAATTGGAAGTGTCTTGGCGACGTTTCGACGAAGTCTCATTCGTCATCTTCAGGCTGGTGTTCTCGGCTTCGTGCTTCCAGGAGCAATGTGAGATCGCAGCTGTCTCTTCCTTTTAACTGCTAGTGGGGGTGTGAGCTGATTGGGTGGGAACTTGGCTGTGTTCTGATTGGGTGGAGGTGGTGTTCTGATTGGTTAGGGGCTTGGCTGTGCTCTGATTGGATGGGGGGTTGGTTGTGCTCTGATTGGCTGGGTGTGTTCTGTTTGGGTGGGGGCTTGGTTGTGCTCAGCTTAGTCTGAGTTGCAGGGGGATTTGAGCTGGTGAGCTCCATTGTTGTTGTTTGGCTTCGTGTTTGTGGCCGTGCGAGCTCTTCATGGTGGGTGTCAGTCTGCTTCATGTATGGATTGGAGGGGTTTAAAGTGGCTAATGATGCAGCTGTGATCTGGCTTCTGGTCCTTGGTCGTGGCTCATTATCAGTGTGGGTTTGAGTCTGCTTTCTGCGTGGATGTGTGGTGGTGACATCCTGTGTGGCTCTCGTGAGTGTGGGTCTGGTATCATTCGTTGTGTTAGGGACTCGTTTGTCAATAAGGGTGGGTTTCCAAATGGCTGCTGGCGGGAGGTATCGTCTCGTTTGTTCATGCTGTGTGGGCGTTTTTCTATCTCGATGGCTTCTCTGATTATTCTGTTGTTAAAGTGTTCAGTTTTGGCGATAGTTCTGGTCTTTTTAAAGTCAATATCATGTCCTGTGGCTTTAAGGTGTTGGACCAGGGAAAAAGTTGGTTCCTCTTTTCTGACTGAATTCTTGTGTTCTTCTATGCGTTAACGCTTAGCTGACGAACAACACCTAAAAACCGAACTACACACTCTCACTAACGTACTAACATCCAATGGATTCCAAAGAAATAAGATCACCAACCTAATCCAAAAAGAAACCCCCACTAAAATCCAAGACAGAGAACAAGAAAACGTCAAAGCCCTCCTCCCATACATAAAAGGCACCACAGACAGAATAAGCAAAATCCTCCACAAACATAACATCAAGACAGCATTCTTCACAAACCGAAAAATATCCACCATCCTAAGGAACCCCAAAGACAAAATTGAGTTAGAAAATCAAGGAGTATATGAAATCCCATGCACCGCCTGCCCCACCACATACATCGGACAAACCAACAGACGAATAAGTGCACGCATAGAAGAACACAAGAACTCAGTCAGAAAAGAGGAACCAACTTCTTCCCTGGTCCAACACCTTAAAGCCACAGGACATGATATTGACTTTAAAAAGACAAGAACTATCGCCAAAACTGAACACTTTAACAACAGAATAATCAGAGAAGCCATCGAGATAGAAAAACGCCCACACAGCATGAACAAACGAGACGATACCTCCCGCCTACCAGCCATTTGGAAACCCGCCCTTATTGACAAACGAGTCCCTAACACGACGAATGACACCAGACCCACACTCACGAGAGCCACACCTGATGTCACCACCACACATCCACGCAGAAAGCAGACTCAAACCCACACTGATAATGAGCCACGACCAAGGACCAGAAGCCAGACCGCAGCTGCATCATTAGCCACTTTAAACCCCTCCAATCCATACATGAAGCAGACTGACACCCACCATGAAGAGCTCGCACAGCCACAAACACGAAGCCAAACAACAACAACGCAGCTCACCAGCTCAAATCCCCCTGCAACTCAGACTAAGCTGAGCACAACCAAGCCCCACCCAAACAGAACACACCCCCAGCCAATCAGAGCACAACCAACCCCCCATCCAATCAGAGCACAGCCAAGCCCCTAACCAATCAGAACACACCTCCACCCAATCAGAACACAGCCAAGTTCCCACCCAATCAGCTCACACCACCTCCACCCAATCAGAACACAGCCAAGTTCCCACCCAATCAGCTCACACCCCCACTAGCAGTTAAAAGGAAGAGACAGCTGCGATCTCACATTGCTCCTGGAAGCACGAAGCCGAGAACACCAGCCTGAAGATGACGAATGAGACTTCGTCGAAACGTCGCCAAGACACTTCCAATTTTACGTGGGAGAAGACCCGAATAACCAAAGACCTACATATATATATATATATATACTTTTTATACATACTTGAAATAATATAAAATAAATAAAATCAATCTGTACAGAAAAAAATAAAGCTATTTAAGTCTTTACTACATTTTCTGTTTTAAAACTGAATGAAAAATATGTTTAGCCATAGTCTTGAATCTTCATTGTAAGTCCTTCAAACAAATTGAAAAAAATGGGCAACTTTTTAAATTAAAAGTTATCAATATTCAATACTGTTATTGTAAATTGAATGTGTACAATTACAAATTTTGAACTTTTGAAAAGCTTTATTACTTTTATGTTTATTTTAGGAAGTATTGTTGGATTAAAAGGCAATGCAGGTCAAAGTGCATATAGTGCTAGCAAAGCAGGATTAGTTGGATTTTCACGCTCTTTTGCTAAAGAAGTAGCACAAAAGAACATTCAAGTCAACATGGTTGCTCCAGGTGAGTTTTGGGTTCAGTTACCTATTCTTTGTCACATAAGATTCATATTTTTTGAACATGAAAGTCTCAAAACATGGGCACATAGCTATATAAAAGATTCAGTGGGTATTTCTCCAAAATTTCTATTGCACAATTGTATCAGCTTCATATTTAGTAGTTAAAGAAAATTAAAATGGTTGCTAGGGGTACTTGTATACAATTTTTTTCCAGATAATGGTGAATTTACGTCAGTGATAGTCCTGACGCATACACATATGGGAGGCACTTGAAGTGGCCACACAAGGTGTTTTTTTTTTTTTTTTGAGATCCTGCCAAATGGTGTTAGATAGCAGGAATAAAGAAATACTGGATACCTGAAAGTATGTCCATATATAATATAAATGCATATGGACATTTTAAAGAAAAAGTGAAGATACTGTAGTACTGTGCTTGAGCATCAATGTACATATTGGTACATATAAATATTCCTCTTCTCTTGATGTACTGTTTTCATACTAATACCATTTTCAAACTATACTGTGTGCACAATTATTAGGCAAGTTGTATTTTTGAGGATTAATTTTATTATTGAACAACTACAGTGCTCTCTGTCAATCCAAAATGTTAATAAACCTCAAACCTGAATATTTAAGAAAGTAAAAGTGAGGTTTTGGCTTTCTTAGGAGAATATCTATTTGTGCACAATTATTGGGCAACTATTAGTGTGCATAATTATTATGCAACTAAATGAAAAATGAAAATTTGCCAATCTCATTTATTTTAACAGATATTTAACAGATCAACAGAGTTGGAAGGGACCTTGTAGGTCATCTAGTCCAACCCCTGCCTAAGCAGGAGACCCTACACTATTTCTGACAAATGGCAGTCCAATCTCTTCTTGAAAGCCTCTAGTGATGAAGCTCCCACAACTTTCGAAAGCAAGCTGTTCCATTGGTTGATTGTTCTCACTGTCAGAAAATTTCTCCTTATTTCTAGGTTGAATCTCTCCTTGATCAGTTTCCATCCATTATTCCTTGTCTGGCCTTCAGGCCCTTGGAAAATAGCTTGACTCCTTCCTCTCTGTGGCAGCCCCTCAAATATTGGAACACTGCTATCATGTCTCCCCGGTCCTTCTCTTCACTAGACTCGCCATGCACAGTTGATGCCTTTCACAGTTACTGCTATTAAGCCTGGTTTCACCCAATATATATGTGTATTTTTGCTTTTTCTTGCTTAAGTGTAAGACTTTACTTTTCTCTACATTGAATTTCATTTTGTTAGATAGGGCCCAATTTTCAAATCTGTCAAGATCCATTTGGATCTTGAGACTATCTTCTAGGGTGTTAGCTATTCCTGCCAGCTTAGTATCATCTGCAAATTTGGTAAGTTCCCCTTCATCTATTCCCTCATCTAAGTCGTTTATGAAGATATTGAAGAGTACTGGGCCTAAGGCAGAACCTTGTGGTACCCCACTGCTTACTTCCCTCCATGTAGATGTAGACCCATTAAGGACTACTCATTGAATACGGTTTGTCATCAGGTTATGAATCCATCTGGTAGTAATGCTATCTATCCCACTTTTTTCTAGCTTACCAAGAAGTAGGTTGTGGTCTACTTTGTCAAATGCCTTGCTGAAGTCTAAGTATATTATGTTCACAGTATTTCACTGGTCTACCAATTTAGTGACTTTATCAAAGAATGAAATAAGATTGGTTTGACATGATCTGTTTTTAACAAACCCGTGCTGACTGCTAGTTATTACTTTACTCGTTTCTAGATGTTGGCAGATCTGTTTTTTTTTTTTATTATTATCTTTTCCAGTATCTTCCCAGGTATTGATGTTAGGCTGATCGGTCTGTAGTTTCCTGGTACTGTTTTTTCCCCTCTTTTTTGAAAATGGGAACCACATCAGCTCTTTTCCAGTCCTCTGGTAGTTCCCCAGTGTTTCAGGACTTTTGAAAGGTGTGGTACAATGGTTCTGAGATGACATCTGCCAGCTCCTTTAGAACTCTGGGGTGTAATCCATCAGGTCCTGGTGATTTGTATTCATCAACATCAGACAGGTGTTCTCTTACTGGTTTTTTTGCTTATTTTAACTTTTATTTCCAGTCTGTTTCTTAAATACCTGCAAAGGGGGCTGCTGCTGTTGCCAGAGCATGCTTGCAGCAGCTCCTCTTGGTTTTATTTTATTTTATCAATTTTTAGTACCCCCATTGGATACTTTTTATTTAAATAATACTTCTTGGAGATGATAACAGTGTAGACCACAACACAGACAAAGTTTTGGTTGCTGTGGATTAATAAAGCATGGGGAAAAGAAAGAAGCACCATGGCACCAGCCCGGGATTTCTTCCACCAGGGAAGAATGCAAAACAACCAAAAATTGAGGAGTATTTTGCTGGCAAGTAAGTAAAACTATCCCCCCTCCACTTCCAACAATCTTGAGAGGTTAGAACAGGACCTGCAAAGAGATCTGACAAAACAGCAGATACTAGATTTTCCCGATCCGGGGGGAGGCGAGCAAAATGACAGCCAGCTGTTTTCACAAATAACGAGCCCAGCTACAACCGATATGGAGGCTGAAATAAAGACTAAAAAAAAAGGCAAACAACAAACTAATTAAGTGTGGAGAGCTTACCGTGGGAGAATACAACAGAGTTTGTGGCAAAGCAATGTATTCTCACAGCGCAAACAGTTTCAATATTTGAGCAACTAATAACCATCCAACATGATGTAGAAAGATATAACAATGAAAAAAGATATAGCTGTTTTTCTGCAAGCTCAACAATGGGCTACAGGCACTCCCACTAACGTCCTCACAGCAGACTTGGGTAAATCCCATACTCAGGATAAGGAAGAGGAAAAAGAGCAAAGACCCAGGGAAACAGTTAAAGAGCCTGCTAAAAAGTGGCAGCCCACTCAGAAAAACAGCCCTTCTCCAGACAAGGCAACAAGAGGAGGACGTATTAACAGAGAAGTTTCATTGGAAGACAATAAAGCATCTCCCCTACAATCACACCAATCACATCGCTCACTACAAACACATCAGGTTGCTCTCAGAATCCATATGAACAGACTTAATTATGGATGCTGGAATACCAAGAGTGCTATATTAAATTCCCTAAGCCAGCTTCTTCACTGTCACTGGGGGCAGATTGATCTCCGTGGTGCAGAGTGGCTTCCAGAGGCCCCAAATTGGAAGTGAATACTTCTGTCTTTCAAGCAGCCCACCATCCCGCTGATGCTATTTAAGATGAAGGCACATCTAGCCTCCTTTCAAATCTTTCCCATCAGAGTTTTCTGTGAGGAAAGGGTTAAACCCTTAATTGTCAACATGTAAGCTCCCAAGTTGCTGTCTCTTCCGCATTCTCAACCTTGGGAAAGAGAGAGGAAGAAAGTGGGAGTAAGCCAGCCTTGTTCGGTGAAGATGTACTTAACAGCAGAGAAACTGGTCTCATTAATGCTTTTGGTGCTCTCCCAAAGAAAGAACAAGATAACATATTATTCAAGTTAGAAAATTTAAAGAAATCCTTATTGATCATAATCAATACAGCTAAACTGCTTATAGATCTAGTTTCCCCAATAATTGAGCCTCTTACTTCTTCCCCAAGAAGAAAGGGTTTGCATGAATATGAGATCATGGAAAACAGAAGCCAAGATATACAGGAGCCATTAGAGAACCCAGTAGAGAAGGAGATGCTAGCATCCTTACGTGATTATCCTATGATACCTTTAGCACCACATCAAGAGATCGAGAGAGGCCCCACGTCAGTGTCATTATTTCAAAGCCGAATGGCGCATGACCTAATAACCCCCTGCTCTACACCTAGAGAAGAGGCACCGGAGTGGCAAGCCTTGTTAGCTGGTGTTAAAACCTCTTACTTTGAATACTTTTCTCAGGAGTCTATACAGGATTTAGATGGGACTTCCCTCCTTTTAGAGAAGGCCAATTTCATGTGTGATGACACCTCAATCCATTGCAACAACCCTACAATTTCCATTTGTATAAATCAAATTTCCTGATGAGCTGCAAAAGATGAGGACCAGTGCAAGAAAAACACCTTAAGTATTATGTCATGGAATGTAGCTGGGTGGTACCCAGCTTTTAGAGACCTAAATTATCCTGATCCTCTGATAGATAAGGATATCATTTTGGTGCAAGAGACCTGGACCACGGATGACCTTCTGTTAAATGGTTATCACTCGCATAAGCTAGAAGCAAGGCCAGGAAGACTGAAGGGAGGGCTGGGTATTTTCATTTCTACCAATTTGAGAGCAGAGCCCATTCTTATTGCCCCAGTAAAACATATGGCTATGGCCCTTCTCCTCAAGATGGACTCAGTCCTGCTCTTAATAATTAATGTTTATCTTCCACCATCGGTAAGAAAAGCTGAAATCACTGCAATATGGATGGAATTGGAATATTATATTAGTAAACTCCACCTGACCATCCAAAAGCCAGGGTCTTACTGGGGGGAGACTTCAATGCTAGATTGGGACCAATGCTAGATTGGACTATATACTATCATCATTATCTACCATTGGAGGTTCCCATAAGAACCAGCTCCTCCCTCACACCTCTCTCTAAAGACAAGAGAGCAATTTCGCTGGCCTCTGTCTTGCAAAGATGGTGAATAAACTCAACCTTTATATATCCAATGGCTCTTGGGCTGGCGACTACCCTGGCGAGATTACATTTATGGCAGAGTCCAAAACCAGCACCATTGATTATATCCTAACTTCTATGGACTGATTACATTATGTAGAAAATTTTGAAGTCCTACCTTACCTGGAAAGCGATAATCTACCTTTATGTATATACATGAAGCCCCCCATCCAGCAGATGCTCTTCGGGGACCAATTTATTCCTGCAATTTCTCCAGCAGGCCCAACAAGATGTAGGGTCAAATGGTCCCAACAACTTGACCAGAAGGTGAGAAGAGCTCTATCAGAGGACAATCTTCAAAAACTTTGCTCAGCCTTTATTACAACCAATCCTTCCCAAGATTTACTAGAACCAT